TAAGTGAAAAGCCAGGTGGTGGTGGTGCTCACCTTTAATCCCAGCACTCAGGAGGCAGAGGCAGGCAGATCTCTGTGAGTTCAAGGTGCCTGGTCTACAGAGCGAGATCCAGGACAGGAACCAAAACTACACAGAGAAACCCTGTCTTGCAAAAAAACAAACAAACAAAAAAACCAAACCAAAAACCCAAACAAAACATAAACAAAAAACAAAACATAAACAAAAAACAAAACACACACACACACACACACACACACACACACACACACAAAAAAAAAAAAAAAAAACCTGTAAATGAACTGTAAAAGTGAGGGGGAAAGTTGTGGCTTTATAGGTGACCCCATTTCTGTGATGGGGAGACAGGTGTTTACCTCACTAGGCTGTTGAGAAGGTCAGAGACATTAACACCTACCCTGTGCCCAAAGCTCTGCAGTCCTCAGGAGAGGCTACCTGGAAGGGAAGGGGAAGGAAGGGGGCAAGAAAGGGAGTGAGGGCCCTTTTCCCAATTCTCTGACTTAGAGAAACATTTTCCAAAATGAATTCATTTGGTGTCCCAGAACCCACCCTGGGGAGGGATAGGCATGGGCGGTGACGATGTACATGCTTGCTCAATTACTGCCTTCTGCCCTGTGCAGGACACTGAGGAAACTTCCTGGAGCCCAGTGGGACTGAGTCCTGAGAGCAATGAGGACAGGGAGATGAGGCTGTCCTCCTTGGGGTCAGCCTTATTTCATGGTCACAGGGAGGCTGGGGTTCCCAGAGAGAAGCCCAAGGCACCATCAAAAAGCTGATGTCACTGTTCTTTTAAGACAAAACCAAGAACCAGATGTTAGAGGGATGAACAGTGAGTCCAGATGTGCCACTGAGTCCCCACAGTGAACAACAAAGCCCGGTTACAGCCTGCAGAACAACAGCAGCTGTTCCGGTCTGGGCTAGCTGGAATCGAGGACTAGCCTCTGGGAAGCAAGGTGCAGAAGAAGTCGGTGTCGTCCAGGCCCAGGATGGGGATGTCTCATGATCCTCACCATGCAGGCTGATGTGGTGATGTGTGGACTGCCAGAGTGAGATGACTCCACAGACCCTTAGAGCCCCTAAGCTGTGCAGAAACCTTTGTTTCAGCCCCTGTGTATCACAGCTGGGGACATCTGGGGTTGGAGGAGCAGTCTTATGTGGTTTCAGTGTGTTTAAGAGAGTTGATAGGGCTAGGTGTCAGACCACAGGCTGGGTCTGGTAGCTAGCCTCTGAGGGGATGGTGGAGGTCTCTTTATTTGTACAAGTCACTCCTTGACTGTTTCCCAGGCTCCTTCCTGTGGCTGAGGCTTGCCTCTGTGCAAGCAGCCCAAATACTAACCTTGCATGAGACTCTCACCACACATGACCTTGGTCTCCAGCTGATCTGACATTGTCCATCACTGGCACCTACTTGGTGTCGGGACTGTCCTGACCCCAGAAGGTATGGACAGCTGTGAGTGGGAGTCAGTCCCTGAACAAACTTACCAGGCAGCTTGGGGACTGAAGGGGACTGAGAACAAACTGGAGGCGACATCCCCCCTCTGGGTCAGGTGCACCTCGGTTTGTGGTTCCTAACTGTCTGTAACTCCAGTTCCAAAGGATCTAACCCTCTTTTCTGGCCTCTGTGGGCATCAGGCATGCTTGTGGTGCACAGACTTACATGTAGGCAAGACACTCAGACATATAAAATAAAAATAGAATGTGTGTGTTTGTGCGTATTCATGTGTGTGCATGAGTGGGTATGTGCATGTATGGGTGCATGTGTGTGTGCTTGTGTCTGTGTATGAGTGTGTGTGGTGTGTGTGTGTCTCTCTGTGCGTGCATGCATGTGTGCTTGTGTGTGTATGAGTGCGTGTGTATGTGTGCATATATGTGTATGTATGCATACGTGTCTGTATGTGTAGCTGCAAATATGTGTGTATGTATATGTATTGTGTATATGCATGCATGTGTCCATGTGTAGATGTGTTATGTGTGCATGTGTGTGTGCATGTATGCATGCATGTGTGCTTGCGTGTGTATGTATGCATGTGTTCATATGTGGCTGTGTGTGTTCATGTGTAGAGACCATCTGTGCGTGTGGGCATATGTAGAGGACATCTCTCTGTGTGTACGTGTATGAATGTATAGAGGCCTGAGGTCATCCTCAGAAACAAGGTCCACTTCCCTGAAACACAGTTTCTTATTGGCCTGAAGTTCACCAATGAGGCTGAAACGGCCAGCCAGTGAGACTCAGGGATTGTCCTGTCTCTGCCTCGCCGGCTCTGGGCTTAATTACAAGGTCAGCATTTTTGTCTGGTTTCTGGGATCTGAGCTCAGGGCCTCATCCTCTCCAGGTGAGCCCTTTACCAATAGGCATATCTCTCCCAGCCTGAAAGAAGGGTTTTACATATAGCAGTGACATGGCCAATGAGCACCATAGCTGGTCTCCCCAGAGGCAGGTCCAATCACAGGGCAGGCAGTGCCTGTGGGAGGTGACTCCAGAGAACACCAGCAGGAGAGGGGAAATAGATGGGCAAAGGGGAGGAAGCATGTTCGGCCCAGCATGTCACCACTGATGGCAGGATAGAACTGGGTGTGGTGGTGCCTGCCTGTACCTGGAGGCAGGGGGATCAGAGTTCAAGGTCACCCTTGGCTATATATCAAATGTGAGGCCAGACTGGACTACAGGAGACCCTATCTCAAAATATGAATAGTGGGCTAGAGAGATGGCTCAGTGGTTAAGAGCACTCACTATCGCAGAGGACCCAGGTTCAGTTCCCAGCACCCACGTGGTGGCGCACAACTGTCCTTGACTCCAGTTCTAGGGGATCTGGCATCCTCTTCTGGCCTTAATACATATCTGAAAGCAAAATATTTATACACATACTATAAAAATAATAAATCTTTAAAAAATACAAATAAACTCTCTCCTGTACCCTTGGCCTCTCCACAGCATGTCCAGGCTGGAGTGCCAGGACCCGGAGACTTGGCTGTCTTATTGATACCATTAACTTCTTTGACCACTCTTAAATTCCTTGTTGGACAACAAAAGAAAGAGGAAACAAAATCCTCACAAACCTCTGTTAAACAACGGCTCTCCTTTCCCTCTGACCACAATTTCTCTTTTTTTCTTTTTCGGTTTTTTGAGACAGGGTTTTCTCTGTGTAGTTTTGGTGCCTGTTCTGGATCTCACTTGGTAGCCCAGGCTGGCCTCGAACTCACAGAGATCCACCTGGCGCTGCCTCCTGAGTGCTGGGATCAAAGGCGTGCGCCACCACCGCTCAGCCTCAATTTCTGTATATGTGAAAGCAGGGGGGCTAGCAGATGACCTTTCAGAGCTAATGACTTCTCTCTTGGGATCCCTTCTCTTATCCTACAAAGGCTGGTGACCCCCTTCAAGCAGTCCTGGGAAAGGAGAAAAACACAGATGATCCTTTGAGAGAAACTGAGGCAGGGAAAAGGACCTGCTGAGTGAGTCCTGCCCCACCCCCGTCCTGCCGATCAGATTTCTCAATGGGGCTTGGCTCTAACCACCTTTATTTTCACCCAGGGCCACAGGTAGTGTCGTGTGTCAATCTGTCAAACAAGATTTCCTGTGCTCTTGTTTGTGTGTGGCTGAGACTGGAAACATGTCAGAACAGTGGTTTCCACAGGCTTCTAGACCCTTCTGATCCTCCTGTTTGCTGGGGATTTAGGGTCACTGCCATGCCAGAGACTGAGGTTTGAGTCTCTGGGTCTCCCACACACCTCGAAGTTTCTTTTGATGGGGGTTTCAAAGCCACTCAGAGTCTGTGTGGTTCCTGCAAGCCCCTCTGACCACAAACAGCCACGCATCACCAAGTCCTGCCTTGGCTCCGATGCTGCCACAAAGCTTGCCTACACTCCATAGCCTGTGTCCCAGGCACATGAAACAAAGAGGGTCTCGCTTGATATCAGATCCTGATGTGCTGGATGAGCAGGCTGAACCTGGGAGACTCCCGTACTACCCTGTTAGGACCACTGCTTCCCCGAAGTTGGGAAGTAGGAGAGAACTTATAGACCTACGCAGATGGATTCTCTTGGAAACTGAGGTTTCCGATGGGTACTCCTGGGCTGGTGACAACCTGCACACACACACACACACACACACACACACACACACACACACACACACACACACACATGCTTTGTCTTATATATTGTGTCTGCCATGTTGGGGCTCCTGGTTACTTTAAAAAGTTAGGAGAGGGGGCTGGAGAGATGGCTCAGTGGTTAGGAGCACTGGCTGCTCTTCCAGAAGACTCAGATTTGGTTCCCAGCACCCACATGCGGGCTCACAACTACCTGCAGCTCCAGTTCCAGCGGACCTGATGCCTCTTCTGACCTCCTCAGATACCAGACACACATACAGATGTGCACACTAACACTCAGATACATAAAATTAAAAAATCTTGAAGAGAGGAGGAGAGGTAAGAAGGGGCTGGAGAGATGGCTCAGTGGGTTAAGGTGCTTGTTGTCAAATCTGATGACTCGAGTTAAGATTCCCTGAGTGTGATGAACCGGAACCCACATGATGGAGGAAGAGAACTGACTCCTGTGTGTTGTCCTCAGACTTCCATACTTGTGCTATGGCACACATACATGCAAGCACGTACACACACACCCACACCCCCCACACCCACACCCACACGCACACACACACACACACACACACACACACACACACTCATACACACTCACTCATACACCCATCCGCATGCACTCATGATAAATGTAAAAGAGTGAGAAGACCCTGTGGTCCTGTGCATTCTCTAAGCAGAGCCGCAGCCACTTAAAGCTACCCCCGCCGCCGGTTCACCGCAGTCCCCACCATCCCACATTGTCTTTCAGCCAGAAACTGAATGCCCATCATCATTTATTGCTGAGTTTATGCTGCTGTTTCTTGACGGAGGGTAAGGTATTTGGGAGCTCCACATTAGCGGCAAAAGTAGGAAAAAAAAAAAACCAGCTTGTTTACATTAATGGATTGTCCATTTCATAAAACTGGGTGGTTGGACATAGACGTCTGCCCCTGGGACTTCCTTTGTTCTCTGCCACCACGCCACCAGCATGCTTACCATCGCATCATATTTACTGGTCCTGTGCCAAGCTATGTGCTTGGTGACACAGGCCTTGACTTGTCAGGAGCAGAGTGAGGAACAGAAGGCACACGGGAATCGGGCACGGAGTCGGCTCTAACAGATGACCTTGCTAGGCCAAGGAGGGAGGGCCTCAAAGCTGGGTGGACACCGCCTCCTGGCTTTCTGCTGGACTCCTGGCTAAGGCTTGTGCTGTGCAGCGGCAGCTGTCAGGCGTGGCGACGCTGGAGGGCGGAGGCAGCGTGGACAGGGAGGTCAGGGAAGCTCTGTTATGTAAACTTAGCCACTTGAGTGAGATGTTCGGTCTCAGCCTCTGCTGCATACTAAGCCATTGTGGATTCCCCTGGGAGAACTCGGTTGAGCACTGGAGTGCTTTCAGGGTGTGGTATTTTGCTGTTTGTTTTTTTGAGACAGGGTCTCCCTATGTAGCCCAGGCTGGCCTCAAACTCACAGAGATCCACCTGTCTATGCCTCCCAAGCACTGGGATTAAAGGCGTGCGCCACCACGCCCAGCTTTTAGGGCACTTTTTTTTTTTTTTACCACACAGCCCCGCTGCGGTTTCCTGGAGGAACTCCTAGAAGTCCCAGGGGGGCATACTCTAGGCAGGTGCCTCCAGTCAGGTGGGGCAAACACTTGACATGGTAGGAGAATGTCACACTGCCGTGGTTCAGGTTACAGCTCGTCTCATGGAAACCAGACTTGGGAGACCGGTCACAAGTACCAAGAAGGTCATCATCCCAGCCATTGTCAGCATCCCAGACCTGCACCCTCAAGGGTCCGCTCGTGGCCACGAGCACATTCCCAAAGTCCATCTTGTCAGGCCACTTAGGGTCATTATTGTTCCACACTGTACTGGTCCTAAACTCCTGGCCACCAAAGAAGACCTTCACGTAGGCATCAGAAGCTGTGATGTAATCTCCCCACAGACCCTTTGCACGGATATTGGTCACCATCAGCTGGGCCAAGCCCCTCTGTCGTGGACAACAGTCCTGGCTGGTGACCTTGGAATCATGGCACATGCATTGGCAGGAGTCACGAGTACTCTTATGCTGGCCTGGCCTGCAGGGCCGGCTACAGTCCTTCCAACGAGCTCTGTTTATCACATAATGGCTGATAGCCTGTCTCAGCGCTTCCCGCCTCGGGTCCAGGTCTTCCACCAGCACGTGCAGGGACTCCAGGCTGTAGTCCACCAGACCAGGGCTGCTGGTCAGTGAGGTTATCCAGGTTGAGAACTGCTCTGGTGTAGCCTGGTTCCCGAAGAGCAGGTCATTGGTAGAATCAAGGTGGCCGCCAACCACCTCGACGTGACGCTCTCGGTAGGTCTGGTGGAAGGAGGTGGACATCTTGTGCTGTTTCTTCTTCTCCTCACAGGCTTTGAATTCGTTTGAGGCGCTGGCAAGGGCGCCGATGCTGACCTGGGCCTCCACCTGCAGGCAGTCGGCTACCTCATCCCCCGTGAGCCCATCCAGGGTCAGCTGGCAGGTGCGCAGGGCCGTGAGGGATGAGATGCGGCCACCTAGGTTCATAGCCGTGATAAAGTGGGTGCCATAGGAGGAGATGAGCCTGTGGTAAGCATCCTTTGTGGAGGTGTTAAAGTTGGGGGGAAGGTCCCTGAGTGCCTTTCTGAAATCGGGGTGCAGTGGGGGTTTTTGTACCAGGCGAAAACTGTGGGGAGAGCAGAGCAGTAGGTGAGCCTAGTGGGCGGTATTTCCCTGATTCAATTCAACCTTCCAGACCCCTCCCCCATACATGCATACAGACGTGAAAGTAGAATGGGACCAGACGGGGACAGGTGGGAAAAAGAAGGGATTAACAGGAGCCGGAATAAGAAAGAATATGATCGAAATACAAACACATAGTGAAACTCATTGTTATTGAAAATTAATGTTTAATATCTAAAAATGTAAAGCGTGTGCATGTGGGGTAAGGGCTAATGTGTCTCAGTGGGTAAAGCTTGCTGCTAAGCCTACCAACCTGAGTTTGATCCCCAGAACTCACACAGTAGAAACAGAGAAATGAGGCAGGAGGTGGTGGCACACGCCTTTAATCCAAGCACTCGGGAGACAGAGTGAGTTCGAGACCAGCCTGGTCTACAGAGCGAGATCAGAGACCAAAATGACGCAGAGAAACACTGTCTCGAAAAAGCCACCCCCCCAAAAAAAAAAAAAGAAAGAAAAGAAAAGAAAAAGAAAAAGAAACAGAGAAGTGACTCTCACAGGTTGTTCCCTGAACTCTGCATCCTTACTGTGACACACAGATACACTAAATACATACATACATAAATAAATGAAGTAGAACTAGTTTTTAAAAGCCTGAGAAACAAGTGCAGATGATGTGGAGTCACCACCGTGTATCCATGCAGTGAGGAGGGAGGACACAGCCAGGTCTCGTGTCTCTGTCGACACTCATGAAGGGCCTCGTGGGAGGTTGGCAATGCCTGGGAGAGAGGGCTTAGGTGCTCCCTGCCTGTACCTAAATGTCACCCAGCTAGGGCTCAGGAACAGTCTTGTTTCCATCCCCTTTTTCTCCAGATGTGGGTGCTCATAAATAGAGGAGGCCTAGGATGGATGGATGGATGGATAAATAGATATAGATAGACAGACAGGCAGACAGACAGATAGACAGACAGGGCCTCTAATCTAAGGACCATGGGTAGTTTTGTCAGCTTGACACAATCTAAGATCACCAGAGTCTCATGAGGGATTATCTAGATCAGGTTGGCTTGTGGTCATGCCTGTGGGGGGGATTGTCTTGATTGCCTCCATTGATGTAGGAAGACCCAGCTTGAAAGTGGGCAACACCATTTCCTGTTTTGGACCCTGGACTGTATACAAATAGAGAGTGCTGGGTACTAAGCTGAGTCCTAAGCCTGAAGGCATTCATTTCTCTCCCTACTCTTGACTGTGGGTATGATGTGATCAGCCGCTGTGTCAAGCTCCTGTTGCCTTGACATCATGCAATAATGGACTGGAAGTGTGGCTAAAACAAGTCCTCTCCCCTTAGCTGCTTTTTGGTCAGGACATTATTATCACAGCAACAGAAATAAATCTGGAGCAGCGGTTCTCAACCTGTGAGTGGCGACCCCACAGTGGGGTCGCATATCAGATATTGACATTACAACAGCAAAATTACGGTTATGAAGTAGCCATGAAATTGGCTGGGGGAGGGGGTGTGTGCCACCGCAATATGAGGAACTGTATTAAAGGGTCACAGCATTAGGAAGGTTGGGAACCTCTGATCCGGACCAATCAGGATTTGGTGCCCTCCTGTGAAGCCGTCTGTAGACTCCATACTCCTATTCCAGAGACCCCTTGGAGTGTCCCACTGCTGTTCTGGTTCCTCTCTCCACGGCCCCAGCTCTTACCTGTACAGGCGACACTCCACTGTGTCAGTATTAAAGTTGTACTGGTCCTGATGGGCCTTCTCGGCTGCAAAGTTGGCTACCTTGGAGTGGGAGCCAGCCATGGACACGCGCATGTTTGCCTCGGGCTTGGGGTTCACATCCAGCCCCACGCGCCAGTCGTTATTAATGTTAGAAGCTGCATCCCGGGTCACGCCCTCCGTGGAGCTGACCTTGGCTGTGGCCACTCTACGCTGGCAGCCCGAGCTATGAGGCCGCCAGTGAGCGATTGCCAGGGGCAGGCGTTGTATAGCATCTCCCTTCAGGGCATTTTTACAGAGGGTGCAGGTGCGGTCAGGCCTCAGGAAACTCAGTGTGCTCACCGGGAAGGAGCCGGAGCGGCGGAGGGTGGTCACATCCACGCCTTCCCCAGCCAGCCACGCACCTGGCACAAATTTGTGCTTCTGTTTGCATTCTGACCGAGTGGCAGTGTAGCAGGGAGCAGGGACGGGTGGTGGAAACATCAGGAAAAGGCCCAGGAGGAACAAGTGCCTGGCCATGGCGCTGCGGGGATGGCTGCCGTGAGCTCTGGCAAGCTGTGGAAACAGGGATGAAAGATGCTGACCTCACTCACGACGATGACGAGGGATCCTCAAGGAGAGAGACTGAAATTCTCTTTAGTTATGGCATGCCAGAGCCGGACTGGCTCTCACAGGCTTGGTCCACTGTGCAAAGAGACCCAGAAAGGTTAAACATATAGCCCAGAGTCACACAGCCAGGAAGAGCCCTGTGCTGAGATTTCACTATCTCAGACCTAGTGGAATCAAGACGGATGTCTTTGATCCTGGACAATACTTGATGGGGTGTGGGGAGATGGCTCTGACCATACAGAAGGGACAGAGCATTTATAATAGGTAAGGCTTTGGAGAAGTGTCATTTTCTACCCAGAATAGGGTGCCTTTTTCTACCTGATTCCCCTCTCCTATTCCAGGGATGGACCCCAGAGCCTTACGCATAGTAGACAAGGGCCCTGCCACTCTACCTCTTTTTATTTATTTATTTTGAGACAAGGTATCATTAAGTTGCTCAGGATGGCTTTGAAGTCACTCTGTAGCCCAGGCTAGCCTTGAACGTGTGATCCTCCAGAGGAACCAGGATCCTAACTAAGCCTGTGGCCCCAGGCATGGCTCCTAGCTAATTCTTTCTCTCCCTGTCTCTAGTTCCGGTGCTCCCTTCTGTCTCTCCCTTACAGGTATGGAGAGGCAGTGAGCGCCCTTCCTTTCCCGGCCCTTCCCGTGTGGCTGCTCTGAGCCTCCTGGAAGGGTGCCAGCCCCAACTCTACAATGAATGATGGCTGCCCCGTGTCTTGTGCCCTTGGCTCTAGTGTGACAGATTTGTGAGGGTGCCCTTGCCAGCCCCTTCGGCTACCCAGGTCTCCTGTCTTGATATTCTTCACCAAGTTCTTCAGACTTGGACCTAATGGCAGAGACCGGCACCTGCTTTGCTGCCGATGAAGGTTCTCCCTTGCTTTGAGGCGGCTGAGGGGCCTATTTTTGAATCCCGTCTAGCTCCTTTCCACCTCCATGGTTCTCAACCTGTGGGCTGCGACCATAGGAAAACGTATTTCCAACGATCTTAGGAACCTCTAATCATAAATTAAGTTTCATTGCTCCTTCATAGCTGTAATTTTGCTACTGAGCAGTGTCTTAGTTCCTAAGACTATGGGAAATACGTGTCTTTTTCCGAATGGTTGCGACCCACCGATTGAGAACCATTGCTCTGTCTCCTTCTGGGGCCCTCAGAGATCTTTTCCCTCTGCTGTCTGCCATACGCAGCAGGGTCTTAGGCAAGGGAGCAAGGAGCAGAAGGGTCCCTCCCACCTAGCGGCAGGCTTTCATGCTCTACCCAAAGCGGTGACTTGGAGGCAGAATTCAGGCGACACGTGGGCCCGGGAGATAAGCAGGCAAAGGAGAATCCTGTCAAGCTTTCTGGCCACGCTCCTTAGGTGACCAGAACGCTCCTGGTGCTGACCCACAGACAACAGTCTCCTTCTGGAACTCTTCCTGTTCTCAGGTAGTCTATTTACAGGTTTTAGCTTCTCCTTCCCTTCCCTTCCCTTCCCTTCCCTTCCCTTCCCTTCCCTTCCCTTCCCTTCCCTTCCCTTCCCTTCCCTCCCCTCCCCTCTCCACCCCTCCCCTCCCCTCCCCTCCCCTTCCCTTCCCTCCCCTTCCCTATATCTTCTATGACAGTCTCTCACTGTGTTCCCAATGGTGTATCATAGGTGTACCCCACACTCGGCCCATTTCTATCTTTTAAAGACTCTAACTGCCAGGACTTGAAACAGCCCTTGAGACTGTGGGCAGTCTTCCTTTACACACGTGCCCCAGAGTGGGCACCAGACCAATGAAGGAATTAGTGATGGGCCTGAACGCTGTCAGAGACCCAGGGCTACTGTTTTATGGCCCCAGCACTTCCGGCTCTGTCTCTCAACTCTTTTTGCCAGGGTATCCCAACCTCTCTGCTTCCCGCCCTTCCTCTCCCCTACCTGAAGTCCCACAGAGATGCTGCAGGGCGGGAGACACCTGCGCTCCTGATGACGGAGGCTTTTGAAATGGTGCTGCGATCCCCAGGCAGGCCCACCCTAGTCACCGTCACATCAACTACTGCTTCCTGCCCTGCCCCCAGAGTGTGGTCAGAGGTCCCCACCAGCACCCACCCTGTTGTCACCTCCTCATCCGGCCTGTGACAGCCTGCAGGAAGTCAGCTGTGAAGGCCAGGGCCTCATCTGCCAAGCCAAGGTGTTGGGGTGTGGGACTCCCGTGTGGCCCAGCTGGCCCACGGACTACTCCCTGCTTCTGCTCTGAGTGTATAAGATGTGAGGAGCTGGCGGTTGTGGAGGGTGGCCTGGGCTCCAGGATTGGCTAGGCAGGGTGCTTTGGTCTCCTCCTGTCTCAGCTCCTCCCCCGAAATGGTGGATAATGACAAGGTCCCAGGAGAGGGCACATGAAGATGAGGTGCAGTATTTAGAATCAGGCTCGATCGGCCCTCTTTCTCAATACATGTGACTGTCCCCTCCTCCCTGGGTAGTGGGGAGAGATGTTCACAGCTGGTACCCACTTCCTGTCCATACCTCCATCCCAGCCCTGCCCCAGGTTTGAGCAAGCTAGGACTGGTGAGAGCTAGGAGGGGATGAGAGGCTGTTGCCCACTCTGACTTGCCTGAGGTTAGAATAGGGAGGTTTCCATGGGTGGAGTGACTCACAGGCACCTCTGGGGGCAAAAAAAAAAAAAAAAAAAAAAAAAAAAAAAAAAAAAAAAAGAAATCATTCTGGTTATGAGGTGGGTAAAAGTGGGCAAGGGGGTGCTAGTTCTCGACACCTCCAAGTGTGTACGTGATCAACAAGTATCCGCAGACCCCAGGCCACATCGTCACATCTCACCCCGGCTTATGCTGCCTTCTCAGAATCTGGCCTCATCTTCTGTTACTCTCCCAGAAATTGCAGCTGCCCTGTCCCATGCTGGTACTCTGCCCGAGTGGCCTGACCAGGATGCCAAAGCTAAGAGGTATTTAGTCTCCAACCACGCTGGAAGGACAGTGTGGAAGGTGTGGATACCTGCAAAAAGCCTGCAGGGAAAGAGTCGAGAGTCTAAACAGGTTCTGGGTCAGTTACACCAGAAACCCACTCCCGGCAGTGGTTTTCAGCCCCTGTGTAGTCCCGAATTTGCTCATCCAAGGGAGGGTGCTGGGAATGTAGCTCGGTGGTAGAGCTTACCTAGCAGGTGAAAGCCCACGTGTTTCACCTTCAGCACTACAGTCATTATCCTCATTATCATCATCATCATGATCACCACTGTCATCACTATTATATCATCATAATTGTTATCAGATCACCATCATCACGCCCATCTTCATCATATCAGCAGTATCGTAATCACCATCATCATATCCCTGACATTACCGTACCACATCTCTATCACCATCACCATCTCCATCACTGACATATCGCCATCATCCCCATCCATCATGCCACCATCACATTACCACCACCATAATCACCAGGAAACCTTTGTTTCCTTCAGAATCCTTTTAGCGGGGGTGGGGGGGTTGGGGGGGGTGGGGGGTGGAGGTGGGGTTTGGAGAGATGGCTCAGTGGCTAAGAGCACTGGCTGCTCTTCCAGAGCACCCAGATTCAATTCCCAGCACTCACATGGCAGCTCACGGCTGTAACTCCAGTTCCAGGGCTTCTGACATCCTCACATAGACATGCATGCAGGCAAAACACCAATCAATGCACATAAAGTAAAAATAAATTATATATGTATACATTTTTTTAAAAAAAGAATTCTTCTAGCAAATGACAAGATGTCAAAGGTTCCCTTTGGGGGTGTCCTTCAGAGAGCCACGATGACACCAATGTTTCTGATGTTTCCGGGCTTGTATACTTGATGTGAATTGTCTTATCATTTGAAATGTGCATCTGCACAGCTTTTTCTCAGAGATGCAAGTTTCAACTGTACTGAGATGTGATTCTCCTGCCCTACACACACCCATTGAAAGTATTTGCCCCCCCCCCCCCTTTTGCTATGCTCAGAGGACTGTCCATCTACCACCACAGCCGACTTTAGGATATTTTCCCCACTCTCCAAAGGTAACCCTGTGCTCACTTGCCAGTGAGCTTCTTGTTTTCTCTTAACACTAACCTAGTTTACATCTCTGGATTTTCCTGTTTTCCTACTGTTCTGGCTAGTTTTTTCTTTGTCAACTGGATGCAGAGTAGTGTCATCTGGGAAGGGGAACCCCTGTTGAGAAAGCGCCTCCATCCGATTGCCTGTAGACAAGTCTGTAGTGCTTTTTCTCAATTAATAATCAACGTGGGAGGGCCCAGTCCACTTGTGGGTGGTGGCACCCTTGGGCTGGTGGTCCTGAGTTGTGTTAAAAAAGCAGGTTGAGCAAGCCATGAGGAGCAAGCCAGTAAAACAGCACCCCTCCATGGCCTCAGCTTCAGCTCCTGCCTCCAGGCTCCTGTCTCAAGTTCTTGCCTTGGCTTCCCTCAAGGAGCTGTGGCTCTGGGTATGTAAGCCAAATAACCCTTTCCTCCCTAAGTTGCTTTTGGCCATGGTCTTTATCACAGCGAGAGAAACCTAATTAGGACGTTTATTTTCACATAAATGGAGTCATGCACTACAACTGTTTCTGCCTGGCTTCTTTTGCTCAAGAGTTCCAAGCTTCATAAATGTTGTAGCCATGTGTCAGCCTTTCCACGGCTGAATAATATATATGATCATATGGGCATACCACATTTGTTTATCTATGCATTGGTTGACGGTCATATTTTCCCACTTACTCATTATTACGAACCACGAGGCTATGAATATTTCTCTACATATTTCTTTGTGAGAACACATGTCTTCACTCCCTTCGGTGTATGCCTGGGAGTGGAATTGCAGGGTTAGGCGGTAACTTCCGTTTGTTCTTGTAGGAATTGTTTTCCCAAGCGGCTGAAGCATTTTACATTGCCCTCAGCTGTGTGTGAGGGCTCCAGCTTCCCCACCCTCACCATGCTATGCTACCCCAGCCGGTATGAAGCAATCGCTCACTGTGCTTTCTCTTTTGATTTCCCTGAGGGTTAATGTTAGGTCTCAAACCTGGAGCGAATGGCTGAGATGCCTACTTAACATATCAAAGTGGATCCAGGCTGCCAGGTTCTCCCTGCATCCCTCAGTTGATACCCCATCCCCTACCCTAAATTTCTCCAGCCCATGGGCTGGGCTTCCCTCT